ATTGTTTAGTCAGGGACACTAACCTCTTTTCCCTTAGATAGTCAAATTTTAAAAATGACAACAGTCAACACAACAATAGACATCCTGTACGAATGAGTCAAAATTATACCTATTTTTTGTCAGATCAGCTACTGAAAAATTATTTGACAAAATAGCAGCAATTACTTCTAACACAGGAGAAATTGTAGAACAATTTGTAATGAAATGTGGTGCCAAAATCCTCTATAAATATTACGCCAAATGATAAAATATTAAAACTAAGCCAATTAATATCAGGAGCCATATATAGTTGCCTGCCACCATTATCATAATTTAACATCATCTTAACAAGGGTCTAAGGGCCCAGCAAGTCTGGTGGACACAACCAGAAAAGATTGGTAAGACTTTGCATGTTCATATGTCTTGAAACCCCAAGAGGAAAAACAACTTCTGGAACACGCAAATATCAATAGCTTTTCCTTATACTAACAACCACGACCCAAGAACCCAGAAGCTATAAAAGATAAGCATACTTGCTTACATGGACTTTTCAAAACTTTACAGAACAAAATAGGCCGAAAGCCAACCCAATATAACACGTTGCAAGTCACACCTTGATGAGATAAGGAACCGGACTTCATACCACAAAGAGCAGGTTTCCCCTCAAAATGGCTGCTTCCAGCAAAGCAAACTGTTCTAGATTAACAGCCAGATTACAAGGCTGCTCTGAGCGCACTTTGAAAAGTAAAAACATAAAGGGGGGAGCGTACGTACCTCCTTCCAAACCCTACCCCCTAAAAGAGCACATCCCAAGAGTCTGGCTTGTACTTCGCACCAGGCTGTCTCTCTGGGGAGGAAACACGGACCCTGTACCCTTGAGGCTCTGGAGCAGTGACTTCTGACTCCGGCTTGAGGGTACGCCCTGCGGATTCCAGTTCCCCTGTGTGGGGCTCTGGCGTCCTGCCCAGATGCCAAAGAGGCTGTCCCCTTGCCCTGGATCCTCAGCCTCCCCAACCTGCAGTGTGGCCCCTAGAGGACAGAGCAGCTGGATTTTGCATTTCAGGTGACATCTGTCCTTTTACCATCAGGCCCTACCCAGTGGACTGCACTGTTTGAATGGAACTGGGACCCTGGGCCAGGGCCCTATGCAGGATGCTACATATGACACCCACTCCTTCAGGTGCAGTTCTGCAGGCCAGCCCCCTCCCTGCCCCCGGTCCAGGCCAGTCCCCAGGCTCTCCCGTTCCCAGCTGGTCTGCCTGTGTTAGTTATGACGACTCAGGCATTGCCTGTTGACCTGGGGTGAGGTGACCAGGCATAAAATGATGAGTCCGCCAGTTTCTGGGCTTTGTCATGGTCCCAGCCCGTGTGCGTATGTGCAGTCTCCGTGACCCATGAGTCATCATCCCCTTTCTCGTGGAGGGTGTGCGGGTCTCCAGCAAGAAGCCCAGCCCAGGAGCGATGGCTGAGGCCCCGCCTGGAAACAGCCGAGAAGAGCCTGGGACGGTGTGGACGGGGGAGGCCTCGGCCCGTGTCTCGGCCCCGGAAAGGAGGTCGGTAGGACAGAGCAGGTGGGGAGTCTCCCAGGGACACCGACAAAGCAGGTCTGACACATCGCAGGAGTGGGTGGGCTTGGGGGAGAGGCAGGGGCCAGGGAAACGCAGACTTTCAGAAAGCAGGGGCATGATGACTCATGCTGATAATTCAAAACCTGCAAAAAGGGAATTGCTCTAAGGACTTCAAGTCAAAGGTTGTTAGTTTCGGTCCTTCCGCAGCAGCTACGACAAAAAGGCGAAAGACCAGGTGAGGAGAGGGGATTTCAACACGGGAATCGAAACTGAGGGGGTGGGGGGCCGAGAGAGGGGTGAGGGCGTGTCCTTCCCTCGAATTACCCGTGATCCTGGCTCCAGCCCATGAGGCTCTGAGGAATCAGGTTGGTTTGGTGGCTTTCTGATAGCTCCCATGGTGCCCACCGCACATGTAGAACGTGGTGCCCATGGAGACCGTACTGAGGACAGAAAGCATGGTGGGATGTACTTGGGGAAACGGAACACCGAGTCTCCGCAGGAAGCAGCAGAGCTAACCCGTCTGACGTGCGGCCTCGCTGGTCGACGTGAGGTTGGTGGACCAGCCACATCCACATCACCTGGTTGCCTATCCGAAAGGCCAAGTATCAGGCCCCACGCCAGACCTACTGAACCCAAATCTGTCCTTTTATCAAGATCCCCAGGCAACACGAAGGCACGAAAGTGAAAGGGAACAGGCCAGAAGGTAGCCACTGCCTGGAGGTGGGTCGCTGCTGAAAGCTTCATGGACACGCAGGCGCTGGGACAAATCTCGAACATGGACGTTGGGTAGATGTAGGGGAAGCGCTGGGATGGAAGACCAGGCGGAAGCTGCCGAGGCCCAGGTCAAATGCTCCCCGCACAGGAAGTCAGGAGGACACAACCGGCCGCCTGCCCTCTGGCCAGCAAACTTCCCTGGATGGCTCGAGCCAGGACGTGGCTGTGGTGACTGGCACAGAGCTACCATGGGGAACTTCCTCACTGCAGAGACGAGGAGCCGGTTATCAAGCCCCCAGGCCTGCTCAGTCGTAAGACTCACCTGGGACTTGTTAAAATACAGAGTCCCAGGCTCTGCCCCCGAAAACTCAGATTCAGAGAGGTTCGGGGTGCAGCCTGGATATCCGGGGTTTTACCAAGGACCCCAGGAGTTTCATACCTTCAGGCAACACTGTTCTAGGTCTTGGACTCGAGTGGGCAACCCACCTCCCACTTCTCTCCTCCCCAAGAGCCACGTGACTTCCACCCCCTCCTCAGGCTCCAAAGATTGAAGAAGAATCGTATCACAGGCCCAGAAGGGCAGTGGCTTAGTGAGCGGAAGCGGCTTCGAGAGGCAGCCTTTTGTTTTCTAGAAGTTACACCACTGACCCACTCAAAGGAACTGGCCTGGGAGGCCAAGGTCAAGGCTTCAGACTACCATTCCTCTGGCTTCACTCCAGGGTTGTAAGCCCAGGGTTCCTGCCAAAGGCCGCAGGAATGACCTGGCCACACCAGGCCTTTCTCGCCCTTACCCACGTGATCTTCCTCTTGGTTGAAAACGTGGTTAGTTTCTTGTAACACACTTCCTCTCCATGAAGGTGTCCAGGCCTGTTACTATTGCTTTTTAGAAACCCATAAAAGGGAAACTTCAACTCACGTAATCCATGAAGAAAGGAATAACTCATCCGCCAAGAGTGGCCCCCATCCTTTAGCAGGGGGCTGTTTTCCAGGTCCAGAAATCTGGAAAGGTTCATCTACGCACACTTATTTTCTTTTCATTTTGCTTTTTGATTACAGTCTGCATTCAGCACCTTTTTGTACTAGTTTCGGGTGTGTCCCGTGCACATTTATGGAATGCCCAGCGAGAGGCAGACACTCCCTGCACTCCCCACCTGCCCCCGCCAAGAACGCCTCTTCCTGAACCTGCAGGGAGGGGCGTTTCGTGTTAGAATGGCTCTTCCACGTGCACCGCTGTGTCCGCGGCGTGGGTCTTGTTGAGGATGTGGATGGCGTGGCCCCGCCGTGCGCTCCAGGATGTGCTGGTTAGCAGCTGCTACAGAGAAACAGGAACAAGAGGAGGAAGAAGCTGAAGGTGCTCTTTGGGCTCCCCAAGCTCTGGATGCTAGTTTGTTTGCTGGGAGCCTCACGGGGCCTTTGCATCGAGGGGGGGACTCTCCGAGAAGAAGTCTGGGGCTTTCCAGCTTACTTAACCCCTTTCTCAAGACGGTCTTGTGCAAAACGCTTCAGAACAGGCTGCGCCACGTCTGCGTCTCTCCTCGAATCCACCCTCCTCCCCCCCCCCCCCGGGCATGGCACTGGGCCCCGTGGGGAACTGTGTTGCCTCGTGTTGTGAGTCCCGAGAGTCCAGAACTGCCTGCGTTTTGCTCCTTTTATCGGCCGCTGGGCTGAGAGCCGAGTCGCTGGAGGGCCCCAGCAAGCATGCGCAATGGCGGCGCACACCCTCCGTGGCGCGACCCGCTGGGCCCGCTGGTTTTCCTCCATTTCATCATGAACTTATTTGGTGTTTGTCTCCGTCTATCTCTATTTGTAAGTCACAACACATCTTTTCCCAGAGAAAAACTCAGAGAGGCCAAGTGGCTTGCCCAAGGTCACATAGCTTATCAGTGAGGAATCCAAGATTCAGACCCAGTCCTGCTCATCTTTGAGGCTGAGGCTCTCCCAGGCCACCGCCCGGTCATGTGTGGGGCCCATAACGGACCTGGGTGTGTGGGTGGCACTGGGGGTTGGCAGGAAATGGCCATTATCAAATAACAGTGGTTCGACTTAATCTTTCCCTCTCCCCATGCTTGCGTCCTGCTGCCTAGCTTCATCATACCCACCTTTGAGAACCCCTTTCCTATTTTCTTTTTTTCCTTTTTAAAGATTTTATTTATTTATTTTTAGAGAGGGAAGGGAGGGAGATAGAGAGAGAGAGAGAGAAAAACATCAATGTGCAGTTGCTGGGGGTCATGGCCTACAACCCAGGCATGTGCCCTGACTGGGAATCGAACCTGCGACACTTTGGTTCGCAGCCCGCGCTCAATCCACTGAGCTACACCAATCAGGGCCCCTTTCCCATTTTCTAAGACTCTTCATCTGCTCCCCAAACCCAAGACCCATAATCTATGAGTCGCAGCTCCGGCCCCTGTATTTCCGGAGCACCACGGTGCACTGAGCAGTCCGCACAGACACCAGCCGGAGTGACGGGGTGGCCATCCCGTCGTCTGCCAGCTGAGCCTCCCCCACCTGCACACAACAGAAACTCAGCCTCAGGGGTGGCTTGACTAATTATGGCCTTGTCTCACCCACACCGGGACCCAGCTGCGGCATCCGGCTCTCAGCTCCGCCATCCTGAGGTGAATTTGTTGTCCCACTGGCCACCACATGAGCCCCAGATGACTGGTCCACTTCCAGCTTCTTACTTGCATTCTTTCTAAACAGGAAGAAAAAGGGAGAAATGAACTAAGAGGAGGAAGGGGCAGCAAAAATGTGAGGAAAGAAAAGTCTCCCAGGAATCCCCAGCAGACATTCACGTTTGTCTCATCGGCCGGCGCGGTGCCTCGTGGCCTCCTCTAGCTGCAAGAGGGGCTGCCCTCGACACAGTCACAACTAGTGAGCAAGGAGGGGGATGGGTGTGGGTGGTCGGCTGATGGGATCCGCCAGGCAGGGCCACCCCAAATGCCTGGGTTGAGCACAAGATGCAGAAAGCAGGCGGCAGGGACTGGAGGGGGGGCCCCAGGACTGGGAGGAAGAGCAGAAGCATCTAAGGGGGTGCAGTGGTCACCGCGCTGCACATTAGTGTCCCCATCAGAGTGGAAGTTTCCGTTCCACCTGGTGCAGGAAGTGCTGCCCACGCAGCCTCAGCTGTCAGCCTTTTTGGGGAATCGCTTTGGCTAACAAGAGTCACCTTGCCTGAAGTCACCCCCCTTTCCAGGGTGGCCTTCGTCATCGCCTCATCTCTGTAGAAATCTGCCTTCCCAGCTCCGAGCTCCCCGTGGACTCGGTTGAGACCACACAGTGGCCCAGCCGCTCCCTCTTCCTGGTCCTGTTTGCTGTCTATGCGTCCCAGGAACGTCCTCCCTAACCACTCTCAAAGAGCACCGGTGCTCCATCCCCAGGCACACAGCCTGCGCCAAGTTTAACCCAACAGACTTCTGCTGAAGGCTTGTGCGCCTGAGCTCGGAGCCCGTGCTGGGTGGAGGGGCAGGTGATGAAAACACAAACAAGCATCAGCCCCAACCTTCGAGGAGTTCACAGGCAGGTGTAACAGAGACAGGGAAATGAGCAGCTAAGATACAAAGTGCAGCGAACGCTCTAAGGGGAAGGTGTGATCCACAGTCTAGACTCGGCACAGGGAGACGGCAACAGGAAATCCGGAGGGGCTTCATGGGAGAGGGAGCCTTTGAAACGGCCTCTGAGGATGACAGAGCAGAGCCCGCGGCAGAGAAGCACCCCAGACGGGGGCCAGCATAAGCAAAGGCGCAGGAGGCTGGAGGGTGGGCCCTGGCCAGAGGGTGGCAACAGACTGGTCTGGCCAGAATGGGAAGTGAAATTGAAGTGCTAGTTCAGAACACGTGTGCTTCCAAGTCAGACAGCCTGGGCTCGACTCCCAGCTGTGCCCACTCTGAGAGGGACACTGGGCATGTTATTCCCCTCTCACAACCACGGCTTTCTCTGCTGTAAACTAGTAATCACACACCCCTTTCCCCAAAGGGCCACGTAGGGACCCAGGAGTTCCACCATGCAGGCCACTGCAGAGACACTTGGGAGAGCACGGGGCCGGACTGAGACTCCAGCTGTTAGCACGCAAGCAGACACACAGAGGAGGCCCCTGGGCTGGCCGGTGGTTCTCCAAGTTAGGCTCCCAGCAGCCCCCATCAACTGGGAACTTGTTAAAAATGCAGACTTTCGGGGCCCCAGCCCGGATCTGCCGAACCAGGAATTCTGAATGACACCCAGCAAAGTACTTCAGCAAGCCCTCCAGGGGAAGCCAGGGTCCATTAACACTTGAGAACTGCTGTTTTAAGCCAACACAGGAATTTGTTTTAAGGATACAAAGGCTTTTCGGAAAATCTGAAGACAGAGGTGCAGCAGGGCCTGGAAAATGGGCGGCGGACGGTGGGGGGGGGGCGGGGAGTAGGGGTGGGGGGATGGGAGTCTCCACTCTCCTTCACTCATCTGCCCTTCTCTCTTGCCCTCTGCCTTTCTCTTCCTGTGGCTGCAAATGAGCTTCCTTTGTTTCTGCTTCCACAGGCGGAGGTCCGCTGCCCTAGAGAGCTGCCAGGCCCAGAGGCTGACGTCTCCCAGTCTCAGGTTCTCCGGGAAGCAGCTCATTGGCCCAGCTGGAGTGAGGTGCCCACACGGGGACCAATGAACTGTGCTTTGGGGGCTGAGGCTCCTCGTCTGAGCACAGGTGTCCTCCCCCTGCCCCAAGTGCATGGAGGTGAGGTGCTGATTCAATGGGGCCTCCTAGGCTTGGAGTGCCAGCCAGCCACATGGGAAAGAGGTCAAGGGGAGAGTATGACGTTTAGGAGCTACACGCTTTGAGCCGGTCCCATGGAGCCGCGGTTCTCAAAGCGTGATGCCCAGGCCAGCAGTGCTGGCAACATGTTGACACGAAAGCCATCTTGGGCCCCACTCAGCCCCACCCACCCTCACCCACCCAGACCTCCTGAATGGGGAGCTCTCTGGGAGGGCTTGTCCATCCGCGTGAACCAGGGCGGGTTGGAGAACCACCTCAGGGAGGGCTAAGTGGAGAACCACTTAGGGAGAGAGCCGATCGTTTCCGTGACCTCGTCTGCCTTCCCTCCGCTTCCGCAGAGTCATAGCGAAATAGGCAGAAGAGGCAGCAGAAGAAGACACACGCAGGGTGGTGGCCCCCCGCCTACTCTCCTTTCTTTAACGCAGTGTACGTGGCAAGAGACAGCTTCCCAATTCCGCGACCGTCAGAGCTGGAATAGAGCCCCAGCGCCCCTCTTTACTCTGGGGAAACTGAGGCCCTGAGAGGGTAACGAGCCATGAGCGGCGTCTCCCATTCATTGAAAGAGTCAGGACTGAAGCTGAGGCCTCCTGGCTTCGAGCTCTCAAAATGGGACTTTTCTAGGTCAAGTAAAAATGTAACTGAGAACGTAGAGCAACATGAAGCCATGGGAGAGCTGTGTGAAGAACTGAGACCAGCTCAGAACCAGCTGGCGGAGTGAGGTGACAGAAGGGTTGCATCTGCAGCGTCTTTTTGTGGAGTCACCAATCAAAACCGTCGAACCTGACCTTCACTGTCAAGCTTCCAATTCCACCATTGTCATTGGTCAGAGCTGTTCACGCACCACCAACCAGGCGAGGCTAAACCCCATTGCTATACCGACAATTAGAATATTCATAAGGCTTTAATGAGAATGGGAAGGAGGAGCAGGAGAGGACAAAGATGATAGAACCACAGCAAAACAAAACTATGGCTCCCGAGTTTTTATGTTTAAATGGATTTGGGAAGTCTCCAGCAGGGGGGGAAATAGGAGAAACAGCTGAAACACTGCACAGGGAGTTGTGAAAATTATGCACTGCAGGCTCTGAACCTTGTGTAACTACCAAAAGCAAGACGCTCCTGGCAGTTAACGTGCCCGTCTTAGGAAAAGGAAGTGGCAAGTCCAGCCTGAACTGGGGTGGAGAAATGTGGTCGGTGTGGGATGCAAAAAAAAAAAAAAAGGTGAACAGACAAAAAAAAGTTAGCAAGGACTTGTAAAAAGAGGAACCAGGGTGAACCAAAACAAAGAAATCTTTGATGGCTCTTAGCTCTGGGTTTTGCCCTGGAGGCAAGGAGGGCAGGAGCAGCTAAGCAGGTCGTGCCCTGAGCAAGGGCACTGCTCCTGCAGGTGCAGCCACTGAAACCCGCCTGGCGTGCCCGAGGGCGGGGGGGGGCCTTTCCCTAAGCTCAGGAAGCCAAGTGACAGCCTCCTGCGGGCGGGGCTGCCTTTTCAGCGTTGCCATGAGAGGCACGTGCTTTGGAAATAACTACTGGGCAACCCACACATTTCAAAGAATGACTTGGGTTCTTTTCAAATAGCTCCTTTATTTTCTCTATAGAGTCCCAAACTCCAGAGAGCCGACCAGCCATTTGCAGCCAGCACCTTGGTGTCTGCACAGAGCAAAGCGAGAACAGCTTGAGTTAGGAAACCCACCCCCCTTTACCCCCCCACCCCCCCCCCGCCCTTATGAAGAGGCACCAAGGACCTCACAGGCCTGCTCTCCCTCTGGGGCCAGCCTAACTCCCCTTATTACTATTTTTTAAGTTTCAATTTGTTTGTGTCTGCAAATACTTTTCTCATGATGTTTGGGATTTTGATGATGCTTATTATTCAGGGATTTGCTTTCCGACTCCCTCCTCTGACATCTCCATGCTCTAGGTGGCCAGAAATGGTCACAGCGCTTCACTTGCAGAAGTCCTTCCCAAGCCTCCGCTCTTCACGTGGTGGTCGTTGGGACACCCACAGAAGCGGCAGCGGCCTCCTCGCTTCCACGGCAACAGGAAAGAAGTGAGCCCCGCGGACAGGAAACTGGCTGGAAACAGGACAAACTGAAGGGAGTGGACCTGTTGGCTGCTGCACGATTTCTAGCCCGCGCTGCCGGGCGGACGGCGTGCGGCGGCGAGGACCATGCTGTGTGTGTGTGTGTGTGTGTGTGTGCGTGTAGCATCAGTCCTGTGGCCCAGGCTCCCTCCAGAATCTGACCACTCATCCTCACCTCCCCGCTGCGGTCCTTGCCCAGGCCCTGCCGTGGGTGGGGCTTTTGCCTTCCTTGTTTCTCTGCTTCTATCTGCCTTAACAGTTACATTCAGGGGAGAATGGGACGGGTTTACAGGAACAAGTATAAAGGACACATGGACAAAAACTGGGGGGGTAGAAATGGGAGGGAGGTGGAGAGGGATGGGTGGGTGGGCTGGGATAGGAGTAAAGGACAGAAAACTGTACTTGAACAATGATTAAAATAAAATAAAATTTAAAAAAACAGATGCGTTCAGTGCAGCTGCCAGAGGGATCCTATTCAAACACCAGGCCCGCCCCTCCCCAGAGCCCTCCAACAGCTCCCCAGTGGGTGTGCCCAGTAAGGGGCAGAGCCCTGCCGAAGGCCTGCCGGGCCCCACAGGACACGAGGCTCCCCACTAGCCCCCCACCGTGGGTCCCGCCACACTCCCCCTCACTCCCTCTGCCCCCCTGCCTCTACCCGCCTTGCTGGTCCTTTCCACACAAGCACTGAAATTTCTCCAGGCCACACGGATACCTAAGAGCAGGACTGCTAAACCAGAGCATCCCTACATTTTCTAGATATTGGCAAACGGCTCTGCAAACGGGTTTCCTGATTTCTGTCCCCACCCGGGTGGTGGGAGGGGCTGGGTTCCCGCCTCCTCGGCAACGCTGGAGGTCGCCAGGCTTTTCCGTCTTTACCAATTGGATCATGGGAAACGCTAGCCCAATGCTGTTTCTGTTTACACTTTCCTGAATGTGACGGACATTTAGCATATTTCATGTTTATTGGCCATTTGTATTTCTTAGTCTGGAAATCTGCTGGGGAGAGAGGATATTTTAATAAATCAATTTCTTAAAAAACTTGATTGCTTTTCCATTTTTTATGAGTTAATTTTGGTAATGTATAATTTCCTAGAAAATTGCCCATTTTACTCAAATTTCCAAATGTGCAATTACCCTCCATACTGTTTAGTTATTGTCTTTTCCTGTTGCTGTTCTTGCTTATTTGTGCGTTTTTAATTTTTCCTTCATCCACTTGGCTAGAGGCAAAATAATTAAGACTGTAAGGAGCTTTTCACCAGGTTGGGCCCCCAAATGAATTATGAACAAAGTTTTTCGTTTTCAGAGTCTTCTGGATTTCAGAATTTGGATGCTGGGTGATGGATTTATTACTTTGTTTTCATCCAGATCTAATTGCTTTGTAATTTTTGTTCTGCTTTCATTTTTAACTCAGGCATTTAGCAACCTAGTTTTCAGTTTCAAAAACTTTTTTGTTCTTTTCTAAGGTATACAAAAATCATATTCAATTTGATAAATTATGGTCAGAGAATGTGGTCTGTGTGATACCATTTCTTTCGTTTTGCTGATTATTATGAACTTGGACATGGTCAGCTCTTTTTTTTTTTACTATACAATATAATAGTTTGTTTCCGTTTATTTTCATTTCATTTTTATTGTTGTTCAGTTACAATTGCCCTACCTTCCCTCCCCGTGGCTCTCCCCCGCCCTACCCCAGTCAATTCCCACCCCCTCCCCCGCTCTCAGCTTTTAGCAAAGTTCCCTCTCTAGTCTCAGTTTTAGAACTTCCCGGCGGGTGACCCACCCCCAGTGGGCTTAGGTGTGTTGTAACACATGGATCTGCTCAGCCCTCGGGACAGCTGGGCAGGGCCTTATCATGAGCAACAGCGTGACCTTCCTAGAGGGCAGCCCCTCACTCAGGAAGCTCACCTGGTAGTCCCGGTGGGTGGTCACGTGGTCTACATCCAGCCCCGTGTCTGTGCTCGCGCCCTGCAGGTAGCTGCGGAGCGTCTCTTCAACGCGGACATGACCAGCCAGCTGCAGAGCTCCGGGCTGCCTCTCAGGGCGAGGGGTCTGTGGAGCTGGAGAAGCAATTGGTTCAGGTTCCAGGTGCCTGCAGAATGGAGCAAGGCCAAGGCCTCTGCTAGAGGCTGGGGGCCAGCGAGGCTCAGCCGGGGCTTCTGGCAGACGGAGCCCTAGGCAGCAGCACCCGCTCTCTGCTTTACAGAGTTTGGTCCCTTCTGTCCACCTGTGGCCGATGTGGCCTTCCGGCGGCATCCGAACCAGCTGCAGGGGTGACTGTCCTAATGATGTGTGTGTGATTTGTAAAGTAGAGCTGTGTCATTTTTTAAACTCAATATAAAGCATTTGACTGCCTTTGATATTCCTTTGTGTTTTCATGACAAGAAATGTCAATATTATATTTGCTAATGAAAGAGAAAGAAGAGCTACTAGATTCTTCATTTCAACTGTTGCAAGATTTTGTATGGCCGTATACATTTTGCTTTCATTTTTACCACCTACGTCCGTGACTAAAGTTTCTTGTTGGTGCTGATTATCAAGAATTTGGAATTATTCCCAATAACAATCTTGATCTGAAATGTACCCAGCAATTTCCAGCATTACATATGATAAAAGTTGGTGTCTGTGGTTGCAACCTCATTTCTCATCTCAAAGTGGGAAAATATTTTATTTGTAAAATGTATTATAAAGTCAGCATGCGATATTTCATAGCAGTATGAATTTTACCTTTCTTATTATAAATGTATCAGCAAAGTGAAAATTACTTTCTTAATAGATCATTCCTTTAATATTGTATAGTTTTTCCCATTCACAAGTGAAGGGTTTTGCCTTAAAGTCTACTTTGATACTATACCTCAGTGTTCTTTCAGGTAATTTTTTTCCGGCATACCTCTTCCATCTCTATTTTCTTTTTTTTTTTTTTAAGATTTTATTTATTTATTTTTAGAGAGGGAAGGGAGGGAGATAGAGAGAGAGAAACATCAATGTGAGGTTGCTGGGAGTCATGGCCTGCAACCCAGGCATGTGCCCTGACTGGGAATCGAACCTGCGACACTTGGGTTCGCAGCCCGCGCTCAATCCACTGAGCTACGCCAGCCAGGGCCCATCTCTATTTTCAATCCATGTGGCCTTCTTATTAAAGTTCTTGTGTGAGCAGCACACAGTACTCTGTCTTTTAACAAATGATATCAGTCATTTACATTTTACCTTTTTTGTGATTGTTGATAGAATCAGACTGACTTGAGCCATTCTGCTTTTTCTATTTACCGTCTTTTTTCCTCAAGTCTCTTTCCCTGTCTTTACTTCTGCCCCCTGCCCTCTCCCCCACCCCCACCCAGCCACTATTTTGGAAGCTGTACATGGCAGTCAATTCTCTTGGCATTTACTCTTTCTCTTTGAGCCTGCAGATTGAAAAACAGATTTTTCTAACAGATTCTGAAGTTGTTTACTATTTGTATTTTCCTCCTAAACACGACCTGGATTTTTGCACACTTGACCTATCGAATGTCACCTCCCTACCGGCCAGTCATCCCTGCCTTGTGGTTTGTTTGTTTTGGTTTTGTTTTTCATTTTCAGCAACAACAACAAAGTTTCCTTCCATCAGCAATTACATTTACCAAGGTATTTTCTCAGTTTTTATGCTTACAGCTTTTTTTTTAATTCCATTATCACAGGCCAGTAAGAAGCTAGGAAAAGTCCTGAGCAAGTGAAACGGGGAAACTGAGACAAGAAAATTAAATGAGGACCAACGCTTTGAACAACTTACAGCCAGCTAAGGCACCAAAAGACCTTGTCTCCCCTAACCAAGGACACAGGAGCAAACGGTTTACACCTCTGCTCCCTAACCAGATAATATGTAGCTTAAATCTCTAGAGACCCAGTTCATGCCTTTTGTGCCTGATAAACCCAAGGACAGATGCAGTCAGGGGAACAAATAACAAAAGCCCCACTAGAGCCAGACAGGCCCAAGATCAAAGTAAAACCGTAAAGGAGAGCAAAGAATAATCCCCAACTCCCCTATGTGCTCATTTCGATGCATCATTCTATTAAATTCACAACTGCAGACCTACTTTGGCCCCACCCTGTACTGGGTGAGTTGTGGTAGTTTGTGCTTTTGAAGGAATCTGTCCATTTTACCTAAGTTGCGAAATGTATGTTGGTAGTATTGTGTGAACTACTTTTTCTCTTTGTCAGTCTCAGTAAATAATGCTTTTGATCTTTTAGGAGAACAATTGGCTTTTGTTTCATTGATTTCTTCTTGTTTGTCTCTTT